TCCCTACAGATTAGGTTTAATTTTCCAGGATAAAAAATTATATAGCTAATATGTTTCCTTATTGAAAAAAACAACAGTACACATAAAGATACCATCTAAATTTACAAATGACTCTTCCGAAACACTTCAGGAGGGTCATAGATTACACAGAGAAGCAAGTATGATGTAATATAGTGATTTCTGAACATTGTCTTAGCAATGAATTCCTTTTTTCAGATGAAATTTTACCAATAACTTAATACTGATGGTGGTATATACTAGGGGTTAGGGACCTGGGCTTTGGAACAGCACAGAACTGGATTCAAATCTCAGCTCTGTACCCACTACCTGTATTACTTTTGGCAAATGGCTTCACATATCTAAGCCTCCATTTCTTCACCATTTAAAAGGGATAATTATAGAAACTAATTTAAAGAATTATAAAGATTCAATGAAAGAGTGAATATAAAGCATCTAACACCATGCATGGCCCATAATAAGGACTCAATAAATAAAATTAAGTAAGAAAATAAGGTGTTCTGAATTACATGGGGGGTGGGAAAGGCAAAGGCTTCTCAGGAGGCCTAAATATTGTCACCTCTGCCCCAGCAAAGAGCTGGAGAAGCACATCCTTAAAACACCTGCGTGCCCACAGAACAGTGTGAAAACAAGCGACACAGGTAATAGGAGGGCTGTTATAGTAGGATAGGATTAAGGTTTTAAAAGGCAACTCTTACTAGATGCAGAGATAGGAGAGACAGAAGGAAGAAACACTGGCTGAATATGAGATACATGACTGGACATTAGTTCTAATGCACATACAAGTTTGTGATAAAACAGGTACTTTTTAAAAGACAAGCAAGTGAAAGCATTAATTACTTGCAAAAGACTAATTACTTGTATTTATTTACTTCCATTAGGCTTAAAGAAGAATCTACAATGTTCTATAGATAAATATCTTCACCAATGCTTAAAAGACTCCTGACACAAATACATTGAAAACACAATTATGTGTATCTTTAGGCAACCATATTTTCAAGACTGACACTCTGAATAAAACCCATAACAGCATGAGTTCATAACCCCTGTGAAATAACATCTAGGTCAAGTGAGATCTTCAACTTTCATCAAACCCTACATACCCCAATTCTGTCTCCAAAAAAACTCCAGCGTTTTATGCAATGCAAAATGTTTTTTAACTGCATAATGAACTCTCTGGATAAGCATGTGAGAAAATCCAGCACGTTTTAGAAGATAAGCCATTGTTGGTGAATGTCCAAAAGGATCGATAGACCAGCCAGACCGAGGTTTCACCCCTGTTGATAAAGAAAATGTGTTATTGTTTTAAATTGATAAATGAAATAGAAGAAGTCACAACACATTTAGACCCATCAGAGTTCTTCTGGTCTCCTGGATTCTAAAATAAAGGGGCTGCCCAGCATTACCCTTAGCGAGCATTCCCAGCAGGACTCCCTGAGAGGAAGATTCTGCCACTGCTGTGTTCTCCCGGGCAGGGTGAATAACACTGGAAGTTAATCAGTTGGAGGTGAAATAAGCACTCTACTGCACTCAGTGGAGGCAGAGAAAGAACCAGGACCAAGTCATTGCCCTCTAGGATCTAACAGTCCTGTCTTCTGTGGAGACGCATAACCCAGCAACTCCCTGTTACATGATATAGAAAAGTAACCTAAGTCATTTCAACTTGCACTCCCCAACCCCAACGTTAAGGGATTTTAAACTATCTTTTATAGCTTACAATAGTCCCAAATCATCATAATATACAGTAGCAGAAATGGCCAAAGTAACTGTACCATGTTTCATTAAATCTTAAGACATTTTTATGCTGGTGCTTTCTACCAAGAATGGGTCAACAGAATTTTTCACAGCTGACTCATACCAATTCTAAGAGTGAAGCCCTAAAGCTATATCTCAATTTCACAGAGGATAAAATATAAAAAACATAATAAATGCACAGGTTAGAATTAATGAAATAAGATTATTCATTGGGCATTATACAAATCTGATCTTTTATTTATTCAGGATTCTCAAAGAAGGCTTCTACAAACAACCTATAAATCGACATAAGTAATAGAATTGTGCACATTTTTTTCACTCAAACACTCAAGCACCTTGCATATGCCGAAGACTAAAAGAGGCCTAGGATTACAAAAATGAGCCAATCTTGATCCTGATTCTAGTTGCAGAGATTATGATGCAAATAGGTGTAACACAGGATAACAGAAAAGAGAACAGAGAGAACTCTGTAGAACAATATTGAAGATTAACACAGAGGTGAGAAGCCACCAAGGAGACTGAGAAGGAAAAGTCAGAACTGTCAGAGGACCAAGAGTATGTGTCAAAACTCAAAGTGACCGTATAATCTGTCCATTTCACATATGTAATTTACCTCCAAAAAATTATAAAGAAATCTTGAACTCTATTTAGTAATTTTGGGCTTTTGTGGTAGTACAGGTTTAGCAATTCTGAAACTTTCATGTATTTCAAGACTGAGTAAATTAGAATAAAGGAGCCAGGTTTTACACTGTTAAGAAAAGGAACTATAGAATATGTAAATATGAAAGAGCAGAACCCTATGATACTGGGTTGAAATAGGAGATAGTAGTACTAACATGAATAAATATACATATATACACACAAATATATATTTAAACAAACTCTCCCTCTCTCTCTCTCTCTCTCTCTCTCTCTATATATATATATATATATACACACACATGCACACACACACACACACATTTCCTAGCTCAGTGCAATAACACCTCAGTACCAAACAACATTATCTTCGATCCCAGACTTTGACCTCTAAATGCCATGCTCTATTAAAAATAACCTTAAAGAAATTACTTATTCCAGGGCTGAGGCTAGGAAAGTACAAGATAACCCTGGAACATATTCTTGGGGCATAAATTAAAGAAATGGTCAAAGGGTCATGGGAACATATAAAAATAAATCAGGAGATAGTTGAAGGGGCTTCCACTGGCCAAATGCAGGACAACTGGGGAATCAAAATAAATACTAATAGTACTGGACTACAGCCCATTGAATAAAATAAGAATCCATGAGCTCACAAATAAATTGAAAATAAAAAGGAAAGCTCTTCCTTTTAGTATTAATAGAATACTAACTTATAATTATAGAAGCAATGATGGAATTAGAAAATCATCAATGGATCCTAAAACTAAAACATTAAAGTTTGATGAGGAACAGTATATTTACCTATTCTCAATGTATGTCCTACAAATTAGTTATTAATTCAAAAGGCAGAAAATATAACAGTACAGTAAAGAAAATTAAAAGACACAACTTAAACAAGTGATCAAGAATAGCAGCACCAATATGGGGACAAAGAGATGACAAGTGCCTTCTGACAGCATGCATTGAGGACACAGAAAATAACTACAGTGATATTCTAGCAAAATAAATTAGATTAGATTACATAGATAGATCAGATAGATAAATAACCTAAAGCTAATCATAAGGAAACAGACAAACTCAAATTGAGAGACTTTCTACAACAGAGGTCTGCACTCCTCAAAAATATCAACATCAAGAAATCCAGAGAAAGGCTGAGGTCTGTTTCAGGTTAAGGAGACTAAAAGGACATGACAACTACAAGCATTACGTGATCCTAGGTTGGATCCTGGACTGGGAGGGGAAAAAGCAGTCTTTATTAAAGAACATTACTGAGTCAATTGACAAAATTTGAATATAACCTGTGAAATAGATTGTAGTATTGCTAACGCTCCTGATTTGATAACTATCTTCTGCTTATCTAAGAAAACATCCTTATTTCTTATGAAATAACACAATGAAGTATTGAGAGACAAAGAGACAAGATGCCTCCAGCTTACTCTCAAATGGTTCAGAAAAACATGTATGGGAATCTAACTAGAGTCCCTTGGTATCCAGGTAAGACTGGTTTCAGGACCCCTGAAGATACCAGAATCTTTGGATGTCAAGTCATATAAAATGGTGTAGTAGTTGCATATAACCTACACACATCCTCTTGTATACAGGCATACCTCCAAGATACTGTGGGTTTGGTTCCAGACCACTGCAATAAAGCGAATATCACAATATTTTGGCTTCCCAGTACATATAAAAGTTATGTTTACGGTAGTCTATTAAGTGTACAATAGCATTATGTATAAAGAAAATGTACACACCTTAGTTAAAAAATACTTTATATGTGGAGGAAAAAGAACCCTTGTGCACTGTTGGTGGGAATGTAAATTGGTACAGCCACTATGGAAAACAGTATGGAGAATTCTCAAAAAATTAAAAAGAGAACTACCATATGGCCCAGCAATTCCACTCCTGGGTATTGATCTGAAGAAAACAAAAACACGAATTTGAAAAGATACATGTACCCCCATGTTCACTGCAGCATTATTTACAATAGCCAAGATATGGAAGCAACCTAAGTATCCACAGATGGATCAATGAATAAAGAAAATGTGGTGGTGTGTGTGTGTGTGTATATATATGTGCATATATATATATATATATATATATACACATACATATATATATAAAATGGAATCCTATTCAGGCATATGAAAGAATGAAATCTTGCCATTTGTGACAACACTGATGGAACTTGAGGACATATTTCTGATGAAATAAGTCAGACAGAGAAAGACAAATACTGTAATGATTTCACTTATATGTGGAAGCTAAAAAACAAAATGAATAAACATAATAAAACATAAACAGTCATAGATACAGAGAACAAACAGGTGGTTGCCAGAAGGGAGGGGGCTGGGAGGAGGAAAGAAATAGGTGAGGGAAATTAAGTACAAACTTCCAGTTGCAAAATAACTGAGTCATGGGTATGAAATGTACAGTGTGGGGAATACAGTCAATAACTATGTAATGTCTTTGCATGGTGCCATATCTAGGCTTATCGTGATGATCAATTTGAAACGCACAGAAATATCAAATCACTATGCTGTATAACAGGAACTAACATAATGTTGTAGGTCAAATATACTTCAAAAACAAACAAACAAACTTATAGAAAAAGAGATCAGATCTATGGTTACTAGAGGTGAGGGTGGGAGAAGGAATTGAATGAAGACAGGCAAAAGGTAAACTTCCAGTTATAAAGATAAATAAGTACTAGGAATGTAACGTACAACACGATAAATATAATTAACACTGCTGTATGTTATATATGAAAGCTGTTAAGAGAGTCAAATCCTAAGAGTTCTCAGACAAGAGAAAATTGTGTTTTCTGTTTCTTTAATTTTGTATTTATATGAGGTGACAGATGTTCACTAAACTTGCTGAGATAATCTTTTCACGATGTATGTAATTCAAATCACTATGCTGTATATCTTAAATCTACACAGTGCTGTATATCAATTATATCTCAATAAAACTGGAAGAAAACCAAAACAAAATAAAACTTTATTGCTAAAAATCAGCTAAGCATCGCTAGCCTACAGCAAGTCATAATCCTTCTGCAATAGAAACAAAGATCACTGATCTCAGATCACCATAACAAATACATTAACAATGAAAAAGTCTGAAATATTGCTAGAATTACCAAAATGTGACACAGAGACACAAAGTGAACAAATGCTGTTGGAAAAATGACACCAACAGACTTGCTCAACACAGGGTTGTGACAAATCTTCAATCTGTAAAAAACGTAGTATCTGTGAAGCACAGTAAAATGAGGTATGCCTATAATTTAAATCACCTCCAGATTACTTATAATACACAATGTAAATGCTATGTAAATAGTGATAAATACAATGTAAATACTATGTAAGTAGCTGCCAGGCATGGCAAATTCAAGTTTTGCTATTTGGAACTTTCCAGATTTTTTTTTTCAATTATTTTCCATCCACTGTTGGTTGAATCATCAGATGTGGAACTGGTGAATACAGAGGGCCAACGCTACAGGATATACAGGAGCCCCTCTCAAATACTATCATGCGACTCTACAAATTTGAAATGAAATGAAATTAAGCTATAAAATTAAAAAAAGGAGTATGTGTTGTCCCAAATAACTAGGACAGAATAAGCTTACAAACAAGAATAAAAATCAACATGAAAAGTTAGTGATGTCTGAGATTTCATCATCACTGATGATCTTTTCCGCATCAAAATCACCTGATACACGGGAATAGCAACCTAGCTGCAATAGATTAAAGAATCCCTGAGAAGTAATGATGTAGAAGAGAAAGAACGTAAACTACATTTTTAAAAACTGATACAAAGTGAGGTAGAAGCTAGGGAGAGACACAGAGGGGACCCCAGTATCCTTCTAGGATTTTCCTGGGTATAAGCAAATCTATTTTTTTAAAGGGGGCAAGTGACAAACTTAGGGAGGAAATGCAGTATATGAAAAATCCAAAATTTTATAAAGAGGGTACATATGCCAATAAAACCAGGAAAGATTTTGTGTTTTCATGTAAGAATAAGACTGTCAAAATATAAAAAAGTAAAAACAAGAAAAATTACAGGAAACAATCATTAAAAAGAGTAAAATACATCACTCAGTTTTTGGCAAATCTAATAGACTTAAAAATTAGAACATGAGCAACATGAATAATATAATTAATAAAACTGGATTATTCCAAATATATCTAATATTAAAGCTTAAGAGCAGTCAGAGAACAGTTAAAAAATGGATATTTTAGGCAAAAGATAACCTTAAAAACTCAAACTTAGCTTCTAATGGTCAAATCTATATAATAAAGTTAATAAAAGCAGAAATTAACCACCAAAGACTAAACAATTTAAAAAGTATCCCATAACCAAATGTAAAAACAGTGTCCAAAACAACATGTTGTTCTAAACTGTTTAAACAAAACTGAGAACACTACTCTAATTTACAAGGTGCAGTCAGAGTTACATTTGTCAAAACTCACACTCTACAGTTAAGATTTATGTGTTGCACTGCATGTAAATTACACATCCATAAAAGCTAAACATAAAGAAAAATATCCACAAAAACTGAGGTTTATAAAGTGAATATTTTGGCTTAGAATATAATTAAGTATTTAAGAAAAGTGGCACTGAGTAGGGGGTCCCCAAGTCCACTCCCAGATTTCACGACTTAAGAAAACTTATAGCACTAGACATATAGTCATACCCACAGCTATGATTTATTATAGTGAAAAGATACAAAGCAAAATCAGCAAAGAGTAAAGGCACACAGGGCAGAGTCCACAGGAAACCAGGCACAAGCTTCTAAGAGTTCTCTCCCTGTGGCATCACCCAGGATGAGTTAATTACTCCACCAGTGAATGGTGACAATACCTGAAATGCTGTCAACCCAGAAAGCTCACTAGAGACTCAGTGTCCAAGGTTTTTACTGGGGTCTGGTCATGCAGGCACCCTCTGTCTAGTACATAATATGATTCTAGACTCCCAGAAGGGAAACAAATGTTTAGCATACACTGCACTGTTTGTATAGTTTAAACACAGTGAGTCACTCATCATTTAAGAAATCCAAGTCCTCAGACACCAGCCAACAGCCAACTTTGCAAGCAAGATCTTTCTAAGGATAGCAGTTTCAGATCTGCTATGTTAACTCTTTTCAGCACAAGTATGGTATCTGCAACTTACTCTATAACAATCACAACAATAACAATATGGAAAGAGGAAAAAATAAGGCAAATGTGTCAAAATAATGACTGGTGAATCTGGTTGGGGGCCTTATGAGAGCTCTTTGTAGTATTCCTACAACTTTTAAGTTTGAAATTATTCCAAAATAAAAAGTAAATAAAATATTAATGGGGTTGGGGGTTTTTATCCCTAACAGAAGAATACTTTAAAATAATAAAATATTTAGAAATAACTTCAATAAAAACATGTATATTTACCATAAACTACAAAATTGTACTGAGAGATATGAAATATTTGAAAACAATTACATACCATGTTGCAGAATGCAAATACTCGATATCACAAAGATTTCGAGTAGTCCCATGTTCTTATGAGTTGTATGAACATCTGATTTTATCAGTTAGAATAGCCTTCCCCACTTCTTGTTTTAACAGGATACCTCTTCCCCATGGAGGACCCATTCACATGGTTCAGGCAAGGCTGACCCTGCCCCAAACTACTCTCCCCACATGATCATTTCCATCAAATTAACCAGGCCTCAGTGATTTCAGCTCCTTTAACTCTGGCCTCAGTAAACTGGCTCAGAGATAAGCGCCTAATCCAAAGTGGGTCAATTAGGTAAGGTATTAAGGAAAACTCCTCCTAATTGTTAGACCAAGAAGATCAGAGTCCTGGTTTTCTATGGCAGAGTCAAGAGACAGTATCCCGACAACATAATCTAAGTCCCCTGGATCCAACCTTACCTGAAGCTACCCTATCTCTGGAATTCTCAATGACAAAACTAACATTTTTCTTTCCTTTTTTCTTTCTTTGCTTAAGCTAGTAAACTAGGTTTTTGCCTTTTATGATCAAGGGTCTTAACTAATATATAATTACAATCCCAGGGGGATAGTTTTAGAAAAAAATACTAAAATTAATAAATAGGTAAAATTGATAAAATAATAGGTGAAACAAGGTAGATGACCCTAAGAGTGACCATATTATATCTTTGTAACTGAGTTTATGATCCAAGAAACATCATAAATCAATAACAAAATAAATTATTCAGTAATAATCAGTGCTAGAAAAATTAGTTATTAAAAAAAATAAAAAGCCCTATCTCACATTCCCCAAAATTAATTGCCCGAAGCAGTCCAAATGAAAGAGAAAGATACGAATACATACCTAGATTTTTTTCCAGCCACTGATGTCCTTCAATTAGTTGGTCAATTAAGGCAAAATAATGTGGAGCAGCTTCATCAGGCATAACCCAGCCACCTGTCACAATTTCAAACTGACCGTTTTCTAGTAAACTAGGGAGAAAATAACATAAGAGTTTACATTAAGATATATAAGAAAAGTTCAAATAAAAATGTAAGACATCATAAACATTAGAGACAGCCTTTAAATGTAACCAGTATTCACACTAGTTGTTAATTTTTTTTTTTTAAACCAGTGGATGAATTTCAACTTTGAGACCCTGGTGATAGTGTCCTTAGTAAAGTATCTGCCCCTCCTGCCCTAGGCAAAGCCACGCAGGTCACTCTGAAAGTTCTATTTCATAAGGGTATAATCTCCCACACAACTTCAAAGATTCCTGATGTCAGCAGCCACATATGATTTACTTCTGGATCTGGCCGAGCACCTAGCAAATACCTGAGTATATGCTTGATGAATGTTAATTGGAGGACTGTCACTTTAAGCATAATATTTGTTTCATTACACCTATGCTGAAAAATCAGGACTTATTTTAGTACTTCTGACACTGATAAGTTAATCATGCAAACTACAGAAGTAATAAAAATAAAAGTAAAGCTAGTAAATATCACATGCTTCTGGGAATACAGAAAACATTATAAAGCACCCTGCTCCAGTCAATTATAATGTAGGCTATATAGTTTATCTTTCATTACTGAGCCAAAAGCTCTAACATTATCATTATCTGTTCATTGAGTGCTCTTTACCATAATACTACACAAAGTAACTAGACCACAGCCCTGGAGAACTAAACTGTTACAAGAAGATACCTTCCTCAGAGACAGAAAAAAATTATCAACTATTAAAAATTTGAAGAACTACCTGAGGAAGTGTAAATGTCAAGAACTTAAGCAAGCCTTTTAAGTGCCACAGACTTCTGAGTTTGCGACAAGGTGGTTTTGAAAACGATGTAAAATTTCAGAAGCAAAAGCAGCTTTAACAAGGATAAACATCACTGAATGCCTATAGCTAACAGCCAAGCACCAAGCCAAATTTAGTTGAAACAGACCAGAGGCATAAAGAATAAACATTTTCCTACAAAGCATGTAACAAAGCCACAGCATTAACAGAACATCCAATTTTTTCAAACATATGCATGATCATAGAACCAATGACAGAGTGGATAATGGACACAATTTCTAAAAATGAATGAATACATGAATGATTTCCTTGTATAAAATAAAAAGAGATTAGCTACATCTGTATTACCATGGGGATCACCAAAAAATACAATTTCATATGGAGAATATGATGGCTTATTATATAGTGTCTAAAGAAACTCCAGTGTTCCAGTCAAACCTCAGATTCTCACAGGCCCACATCAAGAACTTGTAAGAAAGAAGCTGGAAATTTCTGAAAATTGTATTTCTTTAAGAACACAACTAAATCCAAGGCTATTCTGTCCCACTCTTACTGCCTATGGGACTTTGCTTACAGTTAGTTCTTCTTGTCTTTCTGGTGATTGCCTGATTTAGCCACACCCTGGAAGCCATGGATCAGTCCCATCCCTGATGTCTATGAGTAGTATTTGGAAGCCTGAGATGTCAGGACAGATTTGGGACTTAATCTCTAGTCATCAAATATAGAAACTTGACCTCCTTATCTCAGTATTCCAATAAACAGATCTTCTGGAAAATATCAGAAATAACTTGGTCAAAACAAATTCTTTGCTGCTCTTGAATAGAGAATAGAAACTATAAATTAAGTAATCTGAATATTAAGTGGAAAAAAAATCACTCCAATGATGGAATTTCTCACCTATATCTGTTTTATTTTGCTACATATTCCCTGTCCCATAGGCATAAATGGGCTCCAAGAAACAGCCAACCAAAGAATGACATATTATATTTCCTCAGCTCTATCTGTGAATAATTTATCCCTTCCCCCTCTGCATGATGCCTGAGATGCTACTGTGATTGTGTACAGAGTTCTTATCTTTACTTTAAAGACTATCCTATCTATTACTATGGGGGAGACATGAAAGCCTCTCACTCATTAAAATGTTTTTCAGGATTTTCTTATCTATTTTCTTCTCTCCTATCTTTCCCAACCTGGCTGATCCCTGCTGCCCTAATTTCTCAGCTCAAATAAAAGTCTCTGGGACACCCACAAAGTCTCTGGGCCACAGAGCCTAAATCAACACTCCCATTGTACCTCCACACTCTATCACACAATAGTATTTTTCACAAACCAGAATGGCCTTGTTCATTTACTGCTTCCTCTCCCTCCTCACCCCACCCACCATTATAACATAAGCTCCAAGAGAGCAAGGACCAGGACATGTTTTGTTCACTTTTCCAGGCCCAGCACTGAGAAGCTTACTTGGCATTTAATGGGTACTCTCTATTGTTAGATGAAGAGGGAATGAGGGAATGAGATGCTCAGTTTAAAATGAATAGTAACATAAAGTTTGTTATTAGATGAAGTTCACAGACATATGCAAAGTAAGTTGAACAGGGAAGGGTCAGTTAAAAAGGAGTGTGAATAATATAGGTATAAAGTGACATGACCTGGAATATGATTCATGTAGGAGAAATGAACGGGGAGGGAGAGAGAGGAGATGCTTCATGAAGCATCAGTGGGAACCGAGAAATATCTTGACATAGAAGAAAGGATTAAAGTATGAATGACTTAGGGTTTTGATTCCAGGGGTCTTATGGGGTGGTGGTGTTAATACACATAGACAGTGCAGTTCAGTTGAGAAGGGAATCATTTTGCAGTAATAAATATAAATTTGGATAAGGCTATTTGATGTGACAGTGAGGCAGCCAAAAGGACCTGAGAAAGAAAACTAAGTTTAGGGGAAAAGGCCAATGTAAAATTAAGTTTTGGAGGAATGAAACAAAGATGAAATAGAGAAGGATGGGAAGTCTGGAGAAAACAGTCAAAAGGAGAGTTAAGGACCAAGCAGAAGGAAAATATAAGAGGAAATTGAGGTGAAAAGAAATGTTAAAGATAAAAAGAACAAATCTGTGACTATGAACTGAGACATTCCAGAAAAGAGTAATGAGGCACAACCTGCACTTCTGCTTGGTAAAAGTCGTTTTTATAGTTTAAAAAGCTACCATATAACTGTGACTTACTCAGAAATGGACAGACACATCAGTGGGTCAGAATATAAAGTTGAGAAATAAATTTTTAAAATTTTTATATTATTAAAATAGCCATTAAATTAGTGGGGAAGAATGGATTGCGGTTTATTTTTTTAAATCTTCAGTCAGAATGATTTAAAACAAACTCATAAGAAAGCCAAAATATTATGTTGTGGAAGCCAAAGGACTGATATTTGAAATGGCTCACACAGGTTTTTAATAAAAACTATATGAGGTCACAAGAGGCATAAGTGATGTCATAATAGCAAGCCAGAAAGAACTTAGGTTTTAGTTTTTCTTAAGAAAGTTTCTCTAATCAGGTAGAACAAAAGGGAAGAAAACAGACAACATGATTTAAGATATGAAGCAATGTGACAATGAGTGGACACCTGGCCAAATAATCAGGTTAGTGAGTACTCCTATTTCACTCAACTGCCTGTTCTCCCTAGTCTATACATATGAATGGCGAAAACCAGATTATAAACCAGATATTCCTACAGGCAGGAAGGTCAGGCTTGATATAAAATATTCACTGTGTTAGGCAAAAACACATGCCACTTGACCAGTTAAACAAACAAACAAAAAATACACATGCACACATAAAAACTGCAGAAGTGCACACATTTGCCATGTTTACCCCGATTTCTAGAATATATGTGATAAGCACTTAAGAAGCACCTGAAGAATGACAGGAAAACAAAATGGTCCAAATATACATGAGGAAAACACTGACCTAATGACTGAAAAGCACAGCCACCATCATCATCAGGTAGTGCTAGGTACAAAAAGTAGGCCTGACAGTCTTACAGAAACAACACTCCAGGAAATACTGAGAAAAATATTTATAAGCAATAGCAGAAAAGCTGTGTTAGCCTACAAAAGGTACCATATTTAAAACTGCCATTGTTAGCAACACAAAATAAAATTAAGACAGATTGCAAGCTGTACATTCCACACCTTTGTAATTTTTTAAAAATCAGGTAATGGGAAACACCTATAGAAAAAGTTACTTAAAATAAGTACAGGTGCTTCCAAGTATTTCCACTCACTTAGTGCTCAACAAGCATGATTTGAGCTAGTTCTCTGCAATTGTCAGGGGAGTACAACAACAAGGACCTACTGTATGGCACAGAGAACTATAGTCAATATCTTTTAATAACCTATAATGGAAAAGAATCTGATAAAGAGTATATATATATATATATATATATATATATATATATATATATACACACACACATATATGCATAACTGAATCACTTTGCTGTGTATACCTGGAACTAACACAACATTGTAAATCAACTATACTTCAATAGAAGGTTGTTCGGAAAAAAAGAAAATGGGCATACTACTTATACTACTTTTAGGAGAGCAATGCCTATTGTTTTAATGATAAAAGTGAAAGGATGCAGAAAATTGTAAATAAAAGTTACCCAGATCTAATTCCCCAATAACAACCACTGTTTTAACTCTGAAAAAAAAAAAGGGAAGTACAAAATCAAAGAAGATGTGCCCACCTCATAGGGTCTATTGCTTAATTTCTACCAAGAGACGCTCTGGTTTCTGGCAAATTTTTTGCATGAATGCTCTTCCTAATATTTTCTAAACAAGAGATCCAGAAACAAATGAAAAGAC